GAATTTGACAGCTTCACCAACAAAGGTAGGAGGATGGCGAACGCCGGGCAGTCAAACGGAGGTCGGAGGGGAATGCCTATTCTTGCACGAAGGTGACAATGCTGAGGCTCTCATTTACTACGGACTGCTAATGTCCGCCTTCATCCCGTCCCGCTGTTCGCTTCTGTATGACTGGCACGCGGGCCGCGGCTGGCGTGTCTGGTTCTGAATACCAAGAAATGGGAACACTTCAGAAGTTCCTCGCCAAGCAACCAAAAGCATCCATCGACGCGGACCAAGTCGGTTGATCGGTTGGTTGCTGCCAAGTCGGTCCAACACAACTGACAAATGATGCCTCTCTGGTAGGTTGGTTTGCGGGTGGCCAGGAACTGCATCCTCTCACCTGATTCTGGAATCTGGATTTCTTGTTACAGCTAATGATGAGATTTGCCTCCCTTCTGATGAATCGTAAATTTGACCACACAGATTGTGAGAGACAATCACCAGAGAGCCTGGTTGTGGCTACAATCAAGTATGAATCAAGATTGACCACGGGGGACGTTTAGCGTAGGGTCTCAATCGCCGCGCTCTTCGCTGATCGCTCGTACAAATGTAACGTGATGTCGACAACAAGCTTTGCCAGCCCTCTCGGCCATTCTCTTCGTGTCTCTCTTCAGTCTCGGCTTTGTTCTCGGCGCTGCCGTCTGTTCTTGGGGCCTGAAGGCTGCTGCGCCAGCGCGCCCATCCCGTCGCGGCGTTGCCTTGACTCAACGCTCTCACTATGCCATGAAGAGCCATGGCGCCTGCAAGCAAATGTCGAGCATTTGCCGTTGCGAGCCTCTGCTAGCCTTCAAGCCTCCTTCTAGCTAGGCAAAAGCTCGGCGAGACTGGGCATTTACGCGACGTCCAAAGCAGACATCCTGATAAAGCTCCCCGCCGTGCCGTCCTCGAGTCTTACTGCGAAGGGACATGGCTCGCACGTTATGAGAGACTGGCACTCTTGGGGCATGCGGAGAGGTTCCAGGGCCCATTAGCGCTCGTAAATCCGTCCAAGCCCCCCCGGACGCCACCTGCGTAGTGCTAACCAGGGGACTTATCCTCGCATTTTCACCCGTCCGACCCGTCGCCTACGACTCCATTGCCGTGCAGGCGTTTGTCCCAATGAAAGATACCTCTCCTACACCCCCTGGTTTTTGTGGCTTGCGATTAATTTTGGATTTCTATGTTGCCTCGCGAAACTCGATACTTACCTTAGGTATCTGAGCTCGATGGCGCGAACGACATGAGGCAATGAGCCTACCGAGGTTTGAAGCAAGAGGTTCACTACCAGCAGAATGAATAGAGTCTACCTGAATGTGCCCATGAAAACTTATGAGGACTATCGGTTTCTCAGTCAAGCCTACCACACCGTTATCAAAACACAACTGCAATGTGATTCCTATTCGTACTAGTGTTATGATATTGGCGACTCTCGGGCTTCGTCCCGCTCTGAACTCAATGGGCTATAATCAACATTTAGCGGCCAAGAGGAGTGAATTCAGTTATCATGATCGTGTAAGAGTCTCGCGAGCTTCCATTCGTTGTTCTTCTTATCGGAAGTTCGGCAAGCCGTGGGTTGGCTGAAGCCTGAAGGATTCGCGAGAGGGCTGGTTCGTGGGACATTGCCGTGCTGATTGTATGCGACATCCCGCGTCGCACATGCTGTGAGTGGTGCGCCCGTCTCTACTCAGGCCACTGATAATCTGGCAACCCACACCATCTGGGGGAGACCTGGGGTCGCCCGACCTCTCTGACTTCAGGTTCCCATCGTGTCGGGGTCTGTCTGGTCTGTGCAGTGGTTGCCCCCATCAAGTGCAAAAAGTAGACACGCGACACCGAGACCACTGCCTGTCACCTAGCTGTTGTGTGCTGAGCCTGATGCACGAGGGCTTTGCTCCATTGTCTCGCGGGGTTCAACAAACAGTGTATGAGTACTCCGTATTCGTAGACGAACTTTTGAAGAGATGCCTCGGCGGCGCTACCCGTGAATACTAGCAACCAAAGCCAAGAAGACAAGCAATGAGGCGAAGCTTGGAGCATGCTTGCAACCGAGTCTTGGCTTTGGACGAAAACGAGGGAGAGGGAGAGGGAGACGGAGACGGGGGCACTTTTGAAGAGGCCAACTCGCTAGGACATGAAGCCAAGACCGTATATTTCATTGCCCGTTGTCTGGGCGGTCGTGAACGTGATGGGAATACCACCTTTCCTTTTGGTCTCTTGAACCCCATATAATCCTGTGGGCACATGTCAAGTGTCATCGCTGGAGTAGGAAGTCGTGCCCATTACCATTGCCCAGGAGTCTGGCACCGTTGACTAAGAGAAAAGCCTTCCGGGCATTGGTGTGTCTGGGCGGGCTTCCGCTCCCACATTCCCATATTCCCCCAAACTTCCCAATTCCCAACGACGCCAGTCCTTCAAGTCTGCACAATTTCGGCGGTATCCAGTGGATCGCAAGCAGTCCGATACGAATCTCCCGTCCGACTGGTCCATCTCAAGAGCCAGAAGCTGATCCATCATCCAAAAGGACCTTTCGATGGGGCCGTTCCAAGAACTGCAGACAAAAATCCCCCGGGGTGTGTGGCTGAACCGGGTATAGCCTCGCTCCGGAACCAACCAAACAGGGGAGGACGTGGGCGTCGCGACATTAAGCTCATGGGCCACTGCTACGGCTCTTATCGTTTGGGAAGGTCGCCGGGGGACTAGTGCCACGGCAGAGAGCTGCAACTAAAGTGTTTGACCGGACCATTCCATGCGGTCCATCTGTCAGCAACCAGCTATGCTAGGAACGCGTACGTGGATTGTGGGTAGCACGACGCGGCTTTGGCTGAAGGAGTTGAAGTGTAGAAAGAGATGAAGGAGGAACCGCATGTTCAGCTGAACAGTGAGTTAGTGGCATCAAACTGCATGGGAGAGTGAACGATATCGTCTTCTGCTGTAGAGAAAGAGAGTCATGATGTGCACATGCGGCCATCCTCGGCCTTTGCCCTCGTTTGCAAACTCAATTGTCCATTCAACCCCTCTCCAGCCCTAAGCCAAGCCCGTTTACACCCATTCAACCACTACGGTGGCCTCGGTAGCGACATCACCTTCCCTTTCCCGCGCCGTGTATGAGTCTTGGCGGTGCGTATCATGAAGGGGGCGGCGATGATTTGAGATGCGCCTTCGCATCATCGACATCCCCCCGCAAGTACACCAATCGACTAGTGATCCATTCATTGGTAGCGACTACGTGTTAGCAGATGCAGTAGAGTTGAATAATGCGATTCGTCGCATACTTCTCCGTTGAAAAGGCCCCTAATCAACGGCAATCCTTCGTGTGGCGCATCAACGAATCAAGACCTCGGTGTGGCACTCGGCTATCACCAGGCCACCCGCCCCCTATGCTCTCCCTTCCCGTCCATCGTGCAGGACGGCGCCAGGCATGCCCAGGACCAACTTTGTTCTCGAAGCCGCGCCAGAAGCCAAGTCGCAGCTAGGTATGCGGCAGGCTCACGCTGGCGCTCTTCCGTGAGCCGAAGTGAACGCCAAAACACGTCTGTTCATCGAAGTTACACCACCACACCAACGCTGGCAACACAGCCAACGAGCAATTTTTTCGTGCCAACACTGATAGAGAAGTCAGGCCCGGGAGACGCGCCAATGACGATGCTCGATGAGATGGGGTGGCGGCGATGCCAAGGTCGATCAACGTTACCGCCGAGCCCCTTGGCTGTCGCATTTCACCGTCCAAGAGACTCAAGCTCTCACCACTTTGTCGCCCTGCTGGCTGACTTTTCCCGAGTCTGGTAGGTAGGCAGATTCTGCAACCTGCTGATATCAGATAGAGCCGGCCGAGTTCAGCTGTTTGCCCGGGTTTCACGAGTCGCGAATCAGATGCTCTCCCTCACCAGAGTGTGTGTCTAACAAGGCGAACTCAGGCTCGCTGTCTCTCACTCTGTTTCTCAACTCTTGTGTTAACCCCGGACCGACATCAGCTACGCCGCCGCCTATCTGCTACCCTCTCATCCTCGACCTGCCTAATCGGGCCATTTGTCCTCGAGCCCATCACGGTCCATCATATCCATCGGGGTCCATCATCTCCCTCTCGTTGGAGCTGCCCACCACCCACCACTACTATCTGTCTCGGTCCAGCCTGGCGTGGATTCCGTGGACTCTCACCTGTGGCATCGTTCTGTTGCAACGAATCCCTTCAACTCTTCCCTGCGACCTGCATCCTGCGCGCCCTGGCCGCCTGTCTCCGATTCTGACCCCCCCCCCCCCTGCACCGTCCCAAACGTCCGACCTCGACCCCGTCGTCTCCGACAGTTTTCTCTTGGTGGTGCGGTACTCCGCGTTACTCTGTTCTTTGCAACGTAGCCAAGTACATCGAGGAAGAGGTAGCTTGTATGGTATTCTCTCGTCTCCTGTCCCGTGGCGACGGTTCTGGGCGAGATGGACGGTCCCCTCCCTCCCTTCTTGACGGCTCCGTCGACGCCCACGCACGAACCCTGGACCCAGGAACCTTGTTGACATCGAGGCAAACCTTACCTCCTCCACGATTGGCCCGTCCCATGCCATCCCATGCCACCACCGTCTTCCCTCCATGCTAGGCATGAGTCCATGTCCATGTCATCCAACCCCCGTCCTTGTCCCCCCACCTCCAGGCGCTAGACTCCTAGAGTATCTTGTCCATGTCTCTGTATCTGCGGATACCTATCGGCTGCCGAATGCAGCTGTGATGCGACCTCCTGCTGTCGCGACCGGGAAATATAAATCATCTCTCATGAGACGCTTCCTCACTCATAGCCCTCCGCTTCCCTCTCCTCTCGCGATCAGCAGCCCTTCATCCACGGCCAACAGCTCAGGTCCAAGTTTGACCCACCTGTCAATTTGCTGTCAGAGACTCGTTAACTCGTGTCTTTCGCTATCATCACTCGTGGAGCGTCTTGTACCAAACCTCTGGTTCCTCACCCCGCCCCAGAAACTTTCCTCCAACTCAAACCATGAGTAACGCTGGAGGCCTTCAGGACGATGTCCTGGCCAAGGCCCACGTTCCCCAGGCCACTGTGCAGGGCACCTCGAAGGAGACTCGCGGCTCATTCGACGTGACCGCCGCCGCCGCCCCTCCTCTCGAAGACAACTACTACGACTCCAAGTCCGACGATGACTACGAGGATAAGCCCACCGAGGAGGAGTTGAACACGCTTCGCCGTGTCTCGGGTCCCATTCACTGGGGTATCTACACCATCGCCTTCGCCGAGCTCTGCGAGCGTTTCTCGTACTACGGTTCCTCCGTCTTGTACACCAACTTCGTCATGCGCCCCCTTCCTCCGGGTTCGACGACCGGCGCCACCTACGGCGCTGATATCCCCGCCGGTGCCTTGGGCATGGGTCAGAGAGCCTCTCAGGGTGTCTCTCTGGTGAACCAGTTCTGGGCTTACCTCGTTCCCCTTTTCGGGTATGTTGCTTCATATGAATACTCGCCGAGAACACAGACTGACTAGTATTCCAGTGGTTGGTTGGCTGATTCCAAGTTGGGCCGTTACAAGGTCATTCACATCGCCATCGCCGTCTCCACCGTCGCTCACATTATCCTGACTGTCGCCGCCGCTCCCTCCGTCATCTCCAAGGGCAAGGTCGCCTTTGCCCCCTTCTTCCTCGGTCTCTTCACACTTTGCTGCGGTACTGGTCTGTTCAAGGCCAACATCTCTCCCCTGCTCGCCGAGCAGAACAAGGACACCCGTATGCGCGTTGAGACACGCGGCGGCGAGCGTGTCATTGTCGACCCTTCCGTCACCAACACCCGTATCTTCCTGTGGTTCTACTTCGCCATCAACTGCGGTGCCGTCAGTGGCCAGATCTCCATGGTCTTCGTTGAGAAATACCACAGCTTCTGGCTGGCCTTCCTCCTCCCTACCATCCTCTTCCTGATCTGCCCTGTTGTCCTCTGGTCCAACAAGAAGAAGTACCACCTCACTCCCCCTACCGGTTCCGTTCTCGAGAAGTTCTTCCGCATGTCCAAGTTTGCTGCGAAGCGCTCTGGAGGCATCACCAAGCTGAACTGGGAGAATGCGAAGCCCAGCAACGTCCCCGTTGCTGAGCGCCCTGGCTGGTTGACCTACGATGACGCCTGGGTTGATGAAGTCCGCCGTGGTCTCAAGGCCTGCAAGGTCTTCCTCTTCCTGCCCATCTTCTTCCTCGCCTACAACCAAATGACCAACAACTTGACCTCCCAGGCCGGTTCCATGGTCCTGAACGGTGCTCCCAACGACGTCATTCAGAACCTGAATCCCCTCTCTATCATTATCATGATTCCCATTCTGGATCACGTTGTCTACCCTGGTTTCCGCAAGATGGGTTTCAACTTCACTCCCATCAAGCGTATGACCACCGGTTTCTTCTTCGCTGCCGCCGCCATGGTTGCCGCTACCGTCATGCAGCACTACATCTACCAGATGTCCCCTTGCGGTGACCTGGCCACCATCTGCGAGGAGGGCCCGGCTCCCATCAACGTCTGGGCTCAGTGTCTCCCTTACGTCTTTGTCGGTCTCGCTGAGATCTTTACCAACGTCACCTCCTACGAGTATGCCTTCTCCAAGGCCCCCGAGAACATGAAGTCTCTCGTCATGTCCGTCAACTTGGCCATGAGTGCTGTCTCTGCCGCCATTGGCCAGGCCTGGACTCCCCTGTCCGAGGATCCCCTCCTCGTCTGGAACTACGCCTCCGTCGCCATCATCGCCTTCCTCGGCGGTGTCGCTTTCTGGTTCTGCTTCAAGCACCTTGACGGTGAGGAGGACGAGCTCAACCAGCTCAAGAAGACCAAGTTCCTTGGCTCCAACCAGCCTACTGCCGCGGCTCAGGACGACCAGGTCGCTCAGGCCCAAGTTTCTGAGAAGGTTTGAACAACTTATACCCAGAAATGTCCATGCTCTGCTTCCTGTGGACAAGCGTGTGTGACCTCATTTGGTTGTATGATTTCCCGCGTCAAATGATTCCCCGGCAGTTGGTCTTGCGGACTAGCTGTCAATACTCCTAGTTAGACAAGTGCACGATAATGCATATAATGAAGATACCTATTCCCCACGTATCAGTCTTGCCATAGTCATAATGTGAATGAGGTTATTAGAATGAATCTCAGCGCCAATTGTCTGCTGTTGAGGGTCGTGTAGATTAGCCGGCAATTGAATGTGCCGTTCCTTTCTGTTCTCATTCAGTCTAAGCTGATTCCGTTCTCAATATGGCCCGACACAGCACCGAACCACGAATGTGTATCCAGCGTACCTAACGAGCTTGCGATCATACTCGTACCAACTAGCGCCACTTCAAGCCAAATGAGGTCTTCGTCCTCCCATTAGCTGTGAAAATGAGACTAACACAGGTGATACCCGACCATCTTTCAGTTTCCAGTATGCGCGTTCAACGCCATAAAGATCATATGCCGATATGGTGATGACTTCCATAGCATGAAGCTGAGCGTACCAATGACTGACCATGGTAACTTCGGGCACCCTCGTAAAAGAATTGAGCCAAGCTGTGAGCACGTATGCGTTGACCTCGTTAAGCGGATGATATGCAGCTGCGAGTATTAGATGTGTCATTTGTGGTCGTTCAGATCTTCGTTATCCGGAACAGCACAGTCCGGCTTCGCGGTCATAACCCAGCGGTTAAATCCATCCAAGTGTGCAAGGGTTAAAGTCTGGGCCTGGAAACTACTAAGCAGTAATAGCCTATTATGTCTCAACGGGAGGGTTGGAACATCAATTATGTTTGAGATCTACTGAATTAAATACGCTGCAAAACAGCCCTCTGACGAGAACCAATCCTCGGACACCCTAGAGAATTTGGATCTTGGACACGAGCTCAGAGGGCGTGATTAAAAGCTTCGAGTAGAACCTCAGACCGAGGAGGCAGTCCAGCTAGAACAAGCTGTGCCCCCAAGGCGAAAGGCTAGTAACAACGGCAAAACTTTACTAGACATATTAATAAGTCATCGAAATAATCCTCCATCTTCTGTTTCTCACAGAATACTGCATAATTCACAAGCCTTCTAGGTTGGCTCGAGGATGATGACGCGCTGGGAATGCCATTTCTTGATAAACTGTAATTTGAGGAACGTTGTTTCTGGTCGTTGACATTATGACAAAAGAAAAGGTACTTGTTACACTTGCACTTTTGGGTGGTAGCCCGGGATATCTCGATGTTGCTTCAACTTAAGAAATCGAACGCTTCCCCTGAACTCCAGCTCTTGTCCAACATTGAGTCATCATACAAATCTTTTCTCAGACTATGGCTCCCTTGCTCAGGGGCTTCTCTCCGGTCCTGTAATCGGTCGAAGACCGAGAATCGTCTCCGACGCTGGTGTTTGACTCGTACGTCAAGTTTACATTGGTTGTGCGGACAATTCCATTGTATGTCATGATTTCCTCCTCGGACCCAGACGGTGACGTGCTTCGGATCTCCGTGTGGTGTTGCGAGCGCGTCATACGCATGTCTTTAAGCGTGATGTTGTCGCCTTCTCGGACCGTGTTACGAGGGCGAGAGGAGTTGCCGTAGTACTTGAGCCCACTGCTGCCGGTCTTGCCAGAGCTGATGGCACCAAAGAGCTTCGGCCACCACTTGCGGAACATGGGACGCAGAGCCGGGGCGGACGCGGAGACGATGGCGAGGTTCACTTCGACCGTGTTGTAGACGACGCCGATATCGTAGAAGGGGTCTTTGTTGGGATCCGGGGGCACGTAGAAGAGTTTGTAGATGGCTACGAGACGGATGATAGCCACGACAGTGACGCTGGTAGAGGACTTATTAGCTCGGGGCAGGGTTTTCAAGATCATGGATGTAAAACTTACACTGCACCAACCAAGAAGACGCAAATGACGGCAATCTTCGCGCCCATTGGCATCTTTAAGCCCAGGAAGATCCAGAACGGCAACAACAGAACGAGTACATCCATCAAGACGTTCAGACAAGAGATTGACACGTGAAAGGAGTTGTCGACACATCGGGCAGAAGCTCGTACGAGAGGATCCCAGTTAGCCTCGATTGGTAGGCACTGAAGGAGAGCGACGAGGAAGATGGCTGTGGCCATGGCAGCATTGGCGATGTTCAAGCCATGGATGGTCCATCTAACGCCGGGCTTCTGTCCTCCAAGACGCAGAAGGAAGACCAAAATTGAGGCTCTGACGAAGGCCAAAACGGGGTTGTAGAACATTTGTGCCATAAAGAACCACCACATAGCGGGTGACGAGTTGAAGGGCTGGGGAACATCAACCGCGTGGTATCCGAAGTACATGAGCTTGATGTCTGGGTAGAGTTTAATACACAAACGAGGCAAAGCGAAGGCATGGCGAAGCGCTTACACATATAGAATGGCGGCGTCATACACACTGCGCATAGCTAAAACTTTGTTAGCCAACAAGATCCTTTCCGTTGTTGTCTTTCATTCGTTCGAATTTGCCTACCACTGCCATGCCGCATAACCAGTCATCTATTCCTAGTGTTAGCCCCTGTGGTTTTCCAGCCGGCACAAAACCTGCTCCTCGGCCAACGTACCAAGACCCCATTGTCTAGTCGTAAGTCTGCTATATGTTCGAGCTCCAAACACAACTATCGAAAGCGCCGGAAAGAAGAATGTGATGAAGATGGCGGCTTGCTGATGGGGCGGGGTCGGTATCGTCAATACGTCCGGGTGCTCAGGGCGCCGAGCAACAATCGAAGCATACTCCATGTTGAAAGATGGATGAATGGATATGATATGTAATCAGGCCTGCAAGAAGCAGCCGGGCTGCCTTGTAAAAGGGAGATCGGCCCCCAAGGCGAAGCTTTGACTGGCTCCTCAGCTGATGAGTCGTGCTGTCCTGTCCCAGGGCGCCGGGTCGTCGTGGGTAAGAGCCAAGAAATCTCACTATCGGCCAAAGCGAACCAGGAGAGAAGAGCGGTCAGATCGAAGGTAGCAGCGAGAGACAGGAAGGACCCTTTTCTTTATGTAGATCTTTGTGTCTTATTGAGAGGGTGATCCACGATGTCGCCACAGTTTCCCCCTCTCCGGGAAGACTAGACGCTACTGCTGCTTGAACCAAGTCGAACGACTACGCTAAACATGATACACGGGAAAATAAGCTTGACAGGCTCTGAAAGATAACCGTTCACCCGTTGCAGAGTAGAGTTTTCTGCAGATCCCCAATGTGGACGGAGTGATCCTGACTCCTCTCGTGTTCCAAGGGTGGTCTGTAAGGGAGGGAAAGGGGGCGTTGCCTCTAGCTCCGTTTCTCTGCAAGGCACCGTGATCCTCCATCTCAGAGTTTGCATATCATTGGCTTCAGAGACATCTTTGCAACACAAGCGAGCGAACGGGAGAATCTTCTGCTCTCAAAGGTTGGGGCGGAGACGAACAGGAGCAAGGTCCCAGGTAGGAGAATAGTCTAGCCTATGTAGACCCTTGCTCCGCCCGCAAACCTCCGGTAGTGTGCTGCGCGCATATGAGATCCCGAGAGTGTTGAAAATTGCAGAGCCATTAAAGGGCCCCCACGCTGTCATAGTGTTGACTGCCGTTTGCGGCACGGCATGGGCTAGGCGAGAAGCCTTTTTAAACTTTTGAGACAACAGTTGGTTCACCCCAATGAAGATGACAAGGCCACCAAAGTGTCGGTGCTGAATATCAGATTCAAATATTATAGTTACCACCCGCACTCGACTATCAGCCTTAAGATCGGACTATCATCATCACATCAGAAATTTTCAAAGGCAATCTGCAGTCTCCGAGCTTCGGCAACGATTCCAGCTCCAAGGACTCGTTCCTCATGTCGTGCGTTGCATTTCTCTCAGGGGTTCGCAGACGTATTCCTTGTCTGCCAAGCCGCTTAGAAAACCATGCTCGGCCAAGAAAATGGCGTGTCTGGGCAACGCAAGGGAGAGAACAGCGAGTTAGCTTTCAGCCGAGGGAACGGACAATTCGTAAAGCATCAAATCTGCTTGAGACCCTCTTTGATTTGCTTCCAGAAAACTCGACCCAGTCTGTGTGTTGTTTAGTCGCGGCAATGAGTACGCTACCAACGGCGTCTAGTTACGAACCGCCGTTGCAGATTCCGATGCAACTACGTATGGCCGTACGCTTGTCGCTTCAGGCCCGACAGTGCCAGTGCAGGTTCAATTTGAGCTCAACCCCGGACCCCAGATCCAAATTCACCGCCATTGCCGTTTCCCACTCTGTATCCGTAGTACTGCGGTAGATGCGGCTGGCCGAGTGCAAAAACGCACGGTAATTGTCAAAATTGTCTTTTGTCGATCCTTACCGCACATGGTGTCAGTGTCCTGTCAAGCACCCCGGCAAAGACTCTTCAACCCTTGCAAGCGAGAGAGACTAAGTTATGAAGCCCCTCACAACTACGGGGCAGTCGCGAACCCTGATTCATTTGTGCAAAATCCCATTATCTCAGCACTTCCCTTCCGGATGGAGACGTCCTCCTTCTTGCCTCTTTTCAGTTCGGACATGACTTGTCTTTTCAGGCAGCCAAGTCCTGGCCTCGTGGCGTCGGCGTGGGTCCGGCAGGAAGTTCGTTGGATGAGCTTCTCTCGACATCCGACGCTCCGAAACTTGCGTTGCCAAGAATTCGACAACAGGTCGGGGGTTGGGAACTAGACCAATCGTGCCCCATGGCGATCTATCGACTTGATGAAAGAGAGTTTTGGCGGCGGTTTCTGGACTCTTAAGGGCCGGCTTGCTGTCACCTATTTCAGTCAATTAGCCGGTTTTTGTTCCTTGACCTGCCTGTGGGATAATTACAATAGAGCGTCTACCACCAAATTTTGGGCATCAATCCAGCCGGGATATCACATAGCGGCTACGGGAACGAGCCGACAGCCTGCTCCGCGGGTTGGGTGGCGTCGGCGCCGGTGCAGGCACAGC